TCTGCACAGAAACAAAAAGAAATTATCTAAAAATTACTTGTGCTGATAACATTAAATCTGAAAGTAAATATTACTGGTTTTCAACACGTTGTATACATCTGACCCAGACGGATTACGGCTCTCTACTGCATCTGCACTTTTTATGACTCTCATCAAGTTGTTAAACTTTATGAGGTCTTTGCACATTATAGTACGTGTTTCACCATGAATTTACACTGAGTAGCAAGTCGGTTAATGGCAGGTTTCACCTGCTTCTATCGCCTTTGGTTTGCCATGTGATTGTTAAATTCTGCAACATTCTTTCAACATTAACTCCTGCTTATTTCAGCAGTCTCTTTATTATTTTTTGAGAAAATGTATATTTGTAGTTATTAATCTCTGTAGGTCTTCCTCATTTTTCAAATGATATGCCCATGTTATCCTCAATATACGTCCGTATAATTACATCCCAGTAACTTCAATTTTTTTTTTCATTTAGGTATAATAGGAGATTAGACATCTAGAGAAAATATTTATTTTTAGTCATTATTCTATGGAGGTTTTCCTCATTTCTCAAATGATATGTCCATGTTATTCTCAATATACGTCTATATAATCACATCCCAGTGACTTCAATATATATATATATATATATATATATATTTTATTTAAGAAATTTTAGAAGGATAGTGGCTCGGATTGAGGAATCGGAAAGCAGAGTTCGAATTCCAGTCGAATCTATTACATTCATTTACGTGCTAATATCGTTAGGAAATGTATGAATGTTCTTCTTCTCCCCCTAGCTATGGGCAAATAGCAAGACAGACCGGGTTGTCTTGAATGGCAACTAGTCTACCGCAGAAAGGAATGACAATCTATTGCGGGGGGGGGGGCTGTCTCGTCAGTCATGTATCGAAGTATACATTATCGCCTAAGCACGTATCACGCATGGCGCATAACTAACTCACTGAGATGGATAGACATCAAAATTGCGTCTGTTCATTTCTATTCCTAATTTTTAGAAAGGAAATACATTTCTAACTTTCTGCATAGGAATGTTCACTATTCATATGAGTTTCTAATATATGATTTTCTGCCGTCTACTTTGTGCTACTATACGGCACGGAGATGTACCCTCAGCAAGACATTTACCCCTCACATTTACGGTTTTGATACCCGCAGCCTCAGGACTAGCAATGAAAATCTCAAGCTAAGAAACGTCTAGCGGATCATCCTGCGGAACGATCACGTCTTGAAACGATATGATGGCAATCCTACTAGATTCATCTGTTAGTTCGACCCTCCACCTGCAGACTGGAGATGATATCGCGGCAGACCAATTAACCGCTGGCATGATTTCGTCCGCCAGAACCTTCAGTAGATTAATCGGACATTGGATGAAGTTCTGACGTTCTCCCAAGGTTGGGAGAGCAGGATAGACAAGGCGGCTCTCATAGACTCAACGCCTTCATGGCAAGAGGTTTAGCAGCAGCATGGAGGGGTTTTATTACACCGCGAACTAATTACCACAATTGTTTTACTTTAGCATCACCACTGCACAAATTAAATCTTTGTTTTTCCCTTTAACTTACCGCAATACTTTCAGCATTTTAACAATTAATAATCAATTACTTATTCATGAACATACGGCCACATTCACATTGAAACACCGATTCACGTATGATTACAGAAGTTAAGCAATGTCAAGCCTGGAAAGCAATTAAATGAGTGACCGCTTGGGAATACTAGATACAGTATGCTTGGATGTGCGGGTGGTGTAATGGATAATGGCTCAGAATTTTTAATCGGTAAGCTGATTTCAAATTCCAGTGAGATTCGTTATAATCACTTACGAGCAAATATAATCGATGATGGTATTAATCCACCTCTTCTCCCTCTGCTATGGGTTAATCAGTAAGATATATCACGGGAACCATTATTATCGCCGAAATAAAAAAAATAAATAAAAGTAAATGCGTACAAAATATTTAGATTTAGACATTAAATAATCCATAGAGGGGTTGATATGTCGCTATACAAAAAACAACCAACCATATTTTTATGCTATTTTCACCTACACAGTTTTTTCATCTCTTTTTTCTGAATCTGGCATTAACAAAATGCAATCAGCGAAGCGTACATTTGGAGGCCGGCAATAATAAATCCTGGTTTGCTAGTAAAATTTAGACCCTAAAAAGGGCGTAAGTTATAAACATCAGCATTTAAGATTCCAGCGGTCGATAATAGAACAGTTGTTATGCGTAAATGCGGGGAATTTATGCATATAGGTGTTAATTGAAAAAAAGGAAAGCTAAAAGGTGAGGACAATATAAAATTTATATTGAGTTACGAGAACCTACCTATGGTCTTCCTCTCCATTTCCCCTGCGGTACATTTGCCTTTTATGCAAATTGAGAACACACACACACACACACATATATATATATATATATATACATAGATAGATAGATAGATAGATAGATAGATAGATAGATGGGTAGTTAAAAAAATATATAGATAGATGAAATATAAAATATATATATATATATATATATATATATATAGATAGATAGATAGATAGATAAAGAATATATAGATAGATAGGTGGAATATATCTATCTATCTATCTATCTATCTATCTATCTCTATATATACATATAGATAGAAAATGTATATATATATATAGGTAGATAGATAGGCAGATAGATAGAAATATATATATAGGTAGATAGATAGAGATGTAGACAGGTTTATAGGTATATATATATATATATATATTCAGATAGATAGATAGATAGATAGATAAATAGATAAATAGATAGATAGATAGATAGATAGATAGATAGATAATATGCCTCTGTGTGTGAGCGACGGTCTAACTAAAGTTACGCACACAAAAATATCTATGTAGGAAAAGAACACGTAAAAAAATGGCCGCGTCTCTTTGTAAGGGTTTAATATCATATTAGCATAAACACATCTTTGCCTCGGCAATAAAACGAGCAATCAATGATGCGTGCTTCTAATAATGCATGCGTGAACGCACTAGGTTTTGAAACACTGCTTCAATAATCGCGTTCGGTTGGCATTTAAGCAATACATTTCCATATCACAGCTTAATCGTCTAAAAAAATATTATACTACATGTACCAGCAACTGATTAGGGAAGCATTTTATCATATGCATATTTTCAGATGGAACTGAAATTTTCTCATCCTGAAACACTCGTTTAAATCTACCCAACGGACTGAACGTCAAACTTTATTGGGAATTATGGCGATGACAGTGGTAGCTGCAATATATATTTGCAGTCATATATTTACGCATAACCAGCTAGCTATGATAATCAATAAGTTTGTAACCTTACTCAGATGAAATATGATCTGAAAATATCGCTATGTAATTCTTTCCTGTGATAATTTTTTGAAGTCACCCCTTTTTTAAAAGATTTGTTTAATATAGAAATTTGCACACCAATACCTTTAATTTCTCTAAACACGCAGGCGTCCTGGGTAAGACGTTAAACTACATCCGCGTTCTGGGTAAGACATTAAACTACTTCCAGCAACAAGACCTCTAATCAGGAGGTTTTGATGAGCATGGAACCACCTCTTATTTGCTGGTGTCCCCAGGTCCATCTTGACCCGGAGTGGTAGCACCTGTTAGGGAACCAGCTATGGGCAAATAGTTAACTATTATCAGCAATACATTTTTGAAGGAAATTTATTCCCAGGAAAAGATTTTTGAGAAAACAAGATATTAACAGCAATATAATTTTTTGTCAGCATTAAATAACTCGTTGCGGTTGATATGCCGTAAAACAAAATAAACCAAACCAATCTAAATCAAAGAATACATATTCTATTCATACGAATGTATCCTAAAAATCTTGTCGGCATTAAATAACCCATTGAGGTTAATATGTCGTAAAACAAAATAAACCAAACCAATCTAAACCAAAAAATACATATTCTATTCATACGAATCTATCCTAAAAGTGTTGACGGCATTAAATAACCCATTGAGGTTGATATGCCGTAAAACAAAATAAACCAAACCAAACCAAACAAGCAGAGTTAGTTACCATGAATAAATAGAGGCAAATTTCTTTTTCGAAACAAGAGAACATTTATCTAGCAATTTCAGTTCATTCCAGCAGTGCATATCATAAATGTTTAATAGGTTCTGGATTTATAGATTATATTTTTATTTGAAAGCCATGACTAAGTACCGAAATAAACACTGGTGGAAAAGTAGCAGTGGACCAGGTAAATTACAGCTACTGCTATCATAAGAAAACGCCGATTAAAGAAAAACATAATGGCGATGTGCAGAGCTATCTTACAACACTATTAATCTGTCATTGCATTTTAAACAAAAATATGCTTTTAATTGTTTTTATAATTTTATTCCTTTTTTAAAAATATTATAATTACTAAATATGCTTTTTTTCAAAATATATGGCAGTTGGTTTGAAAGCTTCGGGAAACCAATTATCCAGGGACGTATTTATCTAGGGATGCAAATGTTCAGGTACATAATTGTCTAGTACGTAATTTACCGGGACGCAAATGTCTCATGCACAACTGCCGTGGAATCGTATTCGGTTAAGTGAATGAAAACAAAGGTAATTATGTGGATTGATCGACTGTTGTTGAGATGAATAGCTTCTCCAGGGAAGGACTTGGAGAATCGTCAATGGAAGAAGTAAACAAGTAGAGAGTTAGAGATGTATCTTATGTGATTAATACCTATTTCGGTAAGACTACGTCGACTCCAAACGACATAATACTTCTTGATTTTGTTATTTCATTCAATGCAATGAAGACAGGGCATCGATTTATTAGATTTAATGATACAAGCCATACCTTTTAACCCATAGATGGGGAAGAGAAGAGGTGAATTCCTAGCTTTCCCAAAGGTTCATGTGCCTAAGTGAATATAATGAACCCCACCGAAACTTGACTCTCTAAATACAAATTTCCGAGCCGTTATCTATCGCACCATATGTACATTCAAGTTTACAGCACCTGGTATTTTCAAGCGGTCACCCATCTAGGTACTAACCAGGCTTGAACTTGCTTAACTTCTGTAATTGTATAAGAACTGGTGTTTTAATGAGATATGGCCGTAAGATGAGCAATTACATTTAGAAATTATTTTTTTTTTAATTGCGCTAAATAAGATATATTGAAATGTTTCTTTTTAAATATGCATTGACAATTCAGGGTAATGGATCTCCACAACTTCCACATACACGTAGCTCTAATTAATGTTTATCTTCTTACTGTTCCTCGCCATAACTATTATGCTAACCTTTTACATGAACTCGTTATATTACTTACTTATTCTTTCCGTAAGTCCGTCTTACCTGTATTATGTTCTGCGAGTGTCAATTTCTCCAAGCCCACTTTCCTCATTATGTGTCTCAGAACTTTAAAGTCTAATTTAAATTGCCTTTTGTGTTCCAATTCTTCTTAACATCTCCTTGCCTTCATACTACGTCCATATACTTTTGACGGTTCTACTCTAGAATAAAAAAAATTTCCTCGAGCCTCTTCTTCATCTTCCAGGAAACTTTTCAGCATACACTGCCATACCATATCATCTTTCACTATTTACATTATTCGGACTATTGTCCTCATCTTTGACGCCATATTTATTACAACGTTTCGGCCGTTTTACGCTCCGGCCTTCTTCAGTTGATTGGAATGTGGAACTGAATCCTTTATTTCGCTCACTGGGTTGACTTTTCTACTTCCATGTTTAATGGATATCAGTTATCAGTTATCCCCTGTTAATTCCCCTCACCAAGTTCTCCACTGCCTTAACCGGGTATTGAACTCACACTCTTTGGATCCTGTCACTGGATTTAACAAACTTATCCACTGTGCCATGTGTCCGTTTGACACCTGAAGAAGCCCGGAGCGTATAACGGCCGAAACGTTGTAATAAATATGGCGACAAAGATGAGGACAGTTGCCCGAATACTGTAAATAGTATACATAATACCTCATCTCAGAAATATTGACAAATATCATCGTTCTTATAATTATTTGGAAATATATTTTCCTGGCTTATTTTAGGTTTGGGGAGGCATCTCTTAGTATTTTATACGTCCTTTGGATTTTTTTCTGTTAGATTTTCGGTTCATATTATCAACATCCTTCAGTACAACGACATCGGAATTTGGCATGTGCTGGGAGGAACAAAGATGATTCAACTCGCTACACGAGTATACAAAACTAATTCGTTAAGAAAAATTTCAAGCCAAGAAACATTAAACTGAGAATTACTTCGATATTTTCGATTAAAAAGTTAAAATAGAACACATTATGTTATTTAATATTTAACATGTTTTGTTGGTTACCACAACATCATTGCTTAGCAAATTTTAAAAATTCCAAACGCAGAGTAACCGTTATACTCTCCGCCTGTGTTCAGGTCCAACTCGATCCATGTCACCTTCAAAGAAATTAAATCTGAAAATTTCATTTAATCTATGTCGGTAGATTATTCTCGTTAGTTTGGTGATACAACGTATTATTCTTTCAAGTATATTAGTCCGCATATTAGTATACAAGTATATTACTATTTCAAGTATGTTAGTCCGTATGTAAGTAACGATAACACGTTATATCGACATTCAGACAGAAGTTTCTTTTTACAAAGATTAGCAAAATAGATGTCTTAAAAGTCATTATGACTGAGCGAGTATTAGGAACTGAGAGGAAAAGTTAGAAAGTCACGTCTGAAGTCTTTGGAAGACAGATAACGATTAGTACTAGAGGGTAAATATATTGCGAAGCATCCACACGGGGGAGCTGTTTCACGATGTATCGGTTCTTAGGAAGAGGCTAACTGACCGGATTTTTTAATACGAATTTTCACCTTTTACAAATCTCAAGTGTCACTCAAAGTAGAGGGTAACTTAGTGAAGTCAAGACAACAATGCGTCCTCTTGAGTCAGAAATATAGTACCTGTCTGAGCTCGTATGTACCGAGCCAGCTCGCTTATATATGAGAAATAAAAGATTCATTGAGAGGAGGATGTAACCTAGGCATGTGAATCAGTATCTTCTACCGCCATCCACGACCTAATTTTCTATGAGATGTTTTGTTCATTTTTACTTCAATAGGAAATTTCATTTTATATACACCAGGCCAAATTTTACTATGAAATTCAATTGTTACGCATTAAAAATCAGTATTACCCTACCGTTTCATAACATTTTTAGAATATCCATTTTTAATCAATTCTCTCCAAGCAAGACGATAATGTCATTTAGATGCATGCGGCTAATGAGAGTGAAATACAATGAAAAAGACTTTAATCGGAACAGAAACTTAATCCTAAATAGGAAACAATGGATAAACCTCTACTCCTGTTCAAAGTACCGGGATGGAGATGATTCAGGCAATGAAATAACTGTGGTATGAGCTTTCAACTATCATAATGGATGACTGATCTCTTAAGAAGGCTCGTTGCCTTGTACGTCTATTGGGATTCAAGCTCTTCACAGACCTCAAGTGGAACTCTTAGACCCGATCTATTGCTAAAATGGCTGGCTCATTGTGCCGCTCCATTATCTGACTCTGGTCGCTATACTCCGTCTTTGAAAGAGTCGAACGTCCTTCTCAGTGATTTTTTAGCTTCACCATCCCTAACCGTACACATTATGGTATAGCCTCCCAATGGGATATTTACCGATCACTAAAATCTTAACATTTCCTATGGTTAACAATTATCTGTTGTTATATAGGAATAAAGAGTCGCTGCCGACAGTGTAGTCTGAACATTAGATCGCCAGTGAGCAAACATGGGTGATTAAATTTTGAATAAGTAGACCACGTGATAGTAAAGGAAATATGGGAATTAGTGCAGCGTCTATACTGTTCACACTTTTTCCTTTATCCTCTCTATTACTATGCGAATCGCAATTATCTATACTATTCATAATACTATTTACCTATACTGATCACTACACGGGTCGCTATTCGCTGGTTACTATTTGCGCGAGTATTACAGAGCAAGTACTATTAGTTCGAAGGTGTCTGATACCAGTATTGTTCAACGGCGTTACTATAGTTGTATCTGCAATTAAAAAAGTCTCTACTTACATCGAACATTACGAAAGTGACAACGAGTGTCCGTTGACATTGCAATAGTGGCAAAGAGTGTTCATTGACATCACAACATCTTTCATAACTTCTTGCTCTTTATTATGCTAATTCAACACTATATTACTCTACATTGAGTGTCTCATGCGCATCTTATTACGTGTCCTTAAGTATACAGATGTACATCAGGATTCTTCCATCAAAAGGAGTCACTTTTGAATCTATTACTTATTGAGTTAACCCTAAGAGATAACACTATAAGGTTTTTAGTCGGTGGATAATGGATAGCGGCTTGGATTGAGGAATCAGAGAGCCAAGTTCGATTTCCAGTCGAATCATTTACATTCACTTACGTGCTAATAACCTTGGGAAAAGTATCACTCCTCCTATTCTCCCCCTTGCTATGGATAAATAGCAAGACAAATCTGGTTCTATTGCATTGGATGGTAAATGGTCTACCACAGAAAGAAATAGCTACCTACTATCGAAAAATCCATGATCGTCTACGCGTCTATCACGTATGGTACATAACTGACTGAGTCAAAAGTCAAGAGAACTTGCAAATCCAAGGGTTGATATACAAAGTTTCGTCAATAACGCCAAGTAAAAAATCGTGTTTTGAAGGACATTGATGAGTGCGCCAACCTAAAGAATGTTGTAAAACCAGCAGAACTGAGAATATATACAAAAAGTTCGATAACAAGATGTTATATAAACACCCGACCTACGATGCAAAAAGACCCCCACGTAGAGAGAATATCGAAAACACATATTCTCGAATCGGTCAATGTTAAATTGACGGTATCCAGAAGTGAATAAGTTTTACATATGAAATATTTAGTATCTTATTACTTTCCGTTCTATTTAACATTACATTAGGAAAAAATGACTAAATACATTATAAAAAACAATCGTACTACGACCTTTATATAAACACGAACGAAAACAAATATTGTTGGTTAAGAAGACCATAAAAAATGTTTTTTTTTTTTGTTTGTTTTTGCTTAATATGAGTGACAAATGTTATATCGGCTGGCGGGTCTTTTCCAAAAACAGATGATATCAGACACATGGACTATAGATTTTCTTTATTTCCATATTTTTTTTTCTATTTCTTTTCACAAAAACTTACTAAACTAAAGATTTCGTTTTTGTTCAACGTGATAAAATGGTTTTTGTCTGTTTTCGTCTGTTTTCACTGTTAAATTTCTGTTCTATATAAAGTATTAAATTTGACTTATTTTTATACCGTTGAGGAAATTTTGTTTCTCAAATATACATTGGGTCAGTAAGCAGCTCTAAAAATTAGATTCTGTAATTCCTGCATATTTCATGTTATATTATGGAATTATTTTCGATGTTTGTTTTCAGATTCTTTTTTCATATTTCGTCCTTGTTATTATTTAACGCAGATATGTCATCAACATTGTTGTTTTTGCGTATTTTTCAAAATTTCATTTTCTAACGTTGCAAAAATCTGATTGATGAGGAATGAGGTCTTAGAAAATTTGACAGTCACAGGCCATATTGAAGACAAGTGAGACAGACAAAAACAGCACATAGGATACATAAAGACATTGCGATAATGGTTGACAGAAGTGAGATTAGGAGAGCCACAAAAGAGAGAGAATTATAGAGAGCCATGATTGCACATGGACTAAAGGGATAATATGAATCATAGAACATGTCAGAAATCATGGTGTTAGAGATTACGGATTACAGTAATCATGACGTTACAGATGGCCAGATGAATATATATATATATATATATATATATATATATATATATATATATATATATATATATATATATACAGTGCTGTTCGATAAAAGTGACTCACTAGATTTTTTTTACTAAATGTTCTCTTCTCCGATGAAACGAAAGTTGAGCTAAATTCAAAGGATAAGCGATCTAAAATCCGAAGAAAAAGCTTTGAAAGCTCTTTGAATTTAGCAGTAAGTACTGTCAAGCATCCGTTCAGTATAATGTTCTGGGGATGCTTTTCTTTTCAT